TAAATAAAAATTTTAGTTTCTTAACAAAAAAAAATTCTTTTAACGTGTTAAAAGCAAAATCTACCCATGTAACATAAACAAAAAAAAAAAAAAAAAAAAAAAAAAAAGAGATAGGTTCATAAAACAAAAAAAATTTGTAGTTGTATGGTCATGGAATTAATATATAAGGACATTATATTAATTATATACTATTAGCTGTATAATTTTTTGGTACAATCTTCCTTTTTAACAGTCTTTTTCACATGATCTGATTATTACTTTGGTTAGAATAAGCTGAATATTTCTGTTTTCAACTATAACGACATTAATTAAAACTATTATTAGTACCCGCGCGATGCGCGGATACAAAATTAAATTGTAATTTGAGTTATTGGAATTACCTTAAAATTTAAACCTTCCAAATAACATGTTTTTTTATTATTTTATTTTATATCTGTAACAATCCAACTCCTTGATTTTAGTACTTGTATTTTATTCTGTGATCAATATTAAATAATACTAAACATATCACGTTTGTGATTGTCTTGTTTGAGCATATTATTTTAAAAAAATTCTTACTACTACTTTATGTTTTACCTCAAATTCGAATAAGTCTTGTCTTTCTACATTTTCACCCAAAAGGATGATACAAAGCTTGGTAAGTTAAAAAGCTTGATCAATTACTTAATTAATTCGTCCCTGCCATAAGTATACAAAAAATGTTAACTAAATTATACTACTATATATTATTATTTTCCAGATTAAAATCAATATTTAATAATATAATTTGTATCATAATTAAAAAATAATTCTTATTGAACTACTGCTTCCATTAATTATGTTTCATTTATAATTCAAATTTTTAATGTTATTCTAAAAGTTCCAAGTGGTTTCATTTTAATTTGCCACTTGGCTTAACCACATGCTTCACTACCCTTCTTTTGATATAATATTGATAGATATTTATTTTGTTTTAAAAATATTGCTCGTAAATTTTAAATTATTTAAAATTTATTAATATTTTAAGTATTGTATATTTAATTTATTTTATTTTCTACACTTATGATTTATAAATGTCTTTACATTATCTCTAATTTATTTTTATTGTTCAATATTTTTAGTTTTTAATTTTACTATTAAACTTGAGTTATGTAGACTTATATTATGACTTTTCTTATCATAATATAAAAAACTTTCTCATCTCAAATTTAAATAAGTTTTATCCTTTTTCTTATGATAAAAAATCTGAATTTTTATTATTTTTTATTTATTCTTTATTTTTTGTTTTATATTATTCAATACCTAATATTATTACATTGTCATGTAAATTTTTATTAGCCCGTTTGAATTTAATATTTATTTTTACCACACTTATTCTAATATAATATAGATAAAAATCAAAAAACTTTCTCATCTCAAATTCAAATAATTTTTATAATTCTATTTTCTTAATTGGACCATATTTTCAAAAAATTATGTTATGCTTTCAAACTTAAACTAACTGAACTCAATTCNTCTGCACACATGGTGCAGGAAGTAATGTGAGTACTCCGACCCAGTGAGTAATAAAAATAAATAACGACTGAGAACATAAAATCCCACAAGGGCACAAATGATGCTATCTCAAGCAGCAACATCAGATAAACAGTAGAAACCGGTGAAATATAATAAGAAAATCTCTTTGAAAAATAATTAATAAAACAAGTATGCTCAAGTAGTAAGTCAGCCATTGTTACCTGACCGGTCAGCCATTGTTACCTAACCAAACGCGTATTACAGTGCCATTGTTACCACTGGTCAGTCATTGTTACCTGACTGGTCAGTCATTGTTACCTGACCAAACGCGTATAACAGTGTCATTGTTACCACTGTTCAACAAATCACTCTAGATGGGTACCCGCGCTCACTGTGGGTGTGCAGACTCCGAAGGGGCTCCTACAGCCCAAGCGCTATCAACAAGGACTGAAAGCCAGAACAATATCAATATGAGGCCAGAAAGCCTCCTCACCTCCCTCATCATGCCCTCACATAAGGCCCTCGGCCTCAATCAGTCCAGAAATAGTCAACAGCCCCTCGGGCAACAGTAAAGCAATAATACTAAGCTCAAACAATAGTTCAAATATCAGTTTAAAACTCCAAGTTTGAGTAAATATGGCTGAGTTCAAGAAACAGTGTAAATCACATGGACTGAGTTCAAATATTATTTCAAACAGTAAGGAAAATAGTGATGATAGTTCATAAAGAGTTCAAACAGTCGTCAATAAGCCTCAAATATGGCAATAAGCCCAAATCATAGTGAAAACATCAAGTCATTGCTAATACGCGATAAAATATCGTCCGGACTGGACCAAGTCACAGTCCCCAATAGTAAATGACCCCGCCCTCGTCATGGAACGCGTGCCTCATCTCAACATAGCACCAAGTTGTGCCAATCCGGGGTTCCAAACCCTCAGAACATCATTTAAAATCATTACTCACCTCTAGCCGGTCAAAAGTCTAGCTCGCTATGCCTTTTCCCCTCGAATCGACTTCCTCGCGCGTCGAATCTGATCAAAACTATAAGGAATACATCACAATAAGCTAATGGGTCATAACCCAATCGAAAACACTCGAAAAATATCAAAAATCACGAAGTTGGCAAAACCCGAGCCCCGGGCCCACTTCTTGAAAAATTATAAAATTCACATCAATGGATTCCTCATCTCGCCACGAGTCTATATATATCAAAATTATCCAATTCCGATACCATTTGGTCCTTCAAATCATCATTTTATATTTTGAAAGATTTCACCAATTTTCGCCCCAAATTCCATCCCAAATCATGAAATAAATGATGAATTCAATGATAGATTCATGTACTTTAGCCAAATGTGAGTTAGAATCACTTACCCCGATGAGTTTCTTGAAAAAACCTTCGAAAAATCGCAAAAGTCCGAGCTCTCTAGGTCAAAATATCAAAAAAAGAACCCAAAACCTCGTATTTATAGAGTAGCCCCAGATTTTCACCTCCGCGGCCGCGCAAAAATGACCGCGGTCCGCGCAAAACAAGTGCTGTCCGCGCTAAGACGAACGCGGCCGCGCCAACTTTGACTGCAGTGACAGGCTTCAGTATATTGGCCATAACTTTTGCTACAGATGTCCAAATTGCAATATCTTTACCTTTCTGGAAACTAGACACGAAGGGATATAACTTTTGTTTTTGAACCAACTCAAAATTCCTTGTAGATCAAAAGATATGTTGTTCCGAAGTAGGACCAGCGACCTGCAGATCTTCATGACCGCGGCCACGGTCACTTTTACGCGCCCAACACAAGGCCAACGTGCCCCGCGCTAATAGGACCGCGCCCCGCACGAAAATGACTGCCCCATCCATTTTTCTAAGTTCCGGGATGCCCGTACTCGCTCAAAACTCACCCGAAACACACCTGATGCCCCCGGGACCTCAAGCAAAAGCACCAACGCATCCTAAAACATTATTCAACCTCGTTCCAATCATCAAAGCACCTCAAACAACATCAAATTACCCAAAACTCATCGAATTCAAGCCTAATTTTCTAAAAACTTTCGAAATACACTTTCAATCAAAAACCCGACCAAACCACGTCCGAATGACCTCAAATTTTGCACACGTTAGGTTTGGAGAGAGATGGGACCGGTTATATAATAGGGGAAGCAGATGCAAGCTTTTTATAACCCAAATCACCTAACGAAGCTACAGCAACTCTCGGGATTCCATTCCGACTCTCGGATCAAAATCTCACCTATCAACCGGAATTCGCCAAAATACTAACTTCCCCAATTCAAGCCTAATTCTACACCGGACCTCCAAAATAAATTTCGATCACACTCCTAAGTCATAAATCACCCCCCGAAGCTAACCGAATCATCGGAATTCAAATCCGAGCCCTCTAACACAATAGTCAACATCCGGTTGACTTTTAAAACTTAAGCCTTCCTTAAAGAGACTAAGTGTCTCATTTCATATCAAAACTAATTCAAATCAACTCTAACACACCACATACCGATAACGAAACATGAAGAAGCATAAAATGGGAAAAACAGAGCGGTAACTCATGAGACGACGGGTCGGGTCGTCACACGAGGACTAGCCAGAAGGATGACAAGGCAAGTTAAAGGGAAAATGTGCAGGGCATTTGTGCTAACAGTATTAGCAGTTGTGGTATACAACATATGAAAAGCAAGAAACATGGCATTCTGGGAACAAAAGGTGCTAAGACCTGGGCACCTATGCCGCCAGATAAAACAGGATTGCAAGCACAAAGCGAATGAAGTACTAAGAAGAAAATACTCAAGCAGGGACAGAGCTTGGACCGAAACAATCTATAGATAAAAAATATATAGGAGGGAATTGTATATACGAAGATAGAAACACACCATTAGAGAGGGGGCTATTTGATACCTATGTAAACCAAAGTTGTAAGTGTTGGTCAGGTGATAGATAAAATCTTTTTGTTTCATCAATAAAAAAAAAAATCTTTTACGTGTAAAAGCAAATCAATCTCCCATATACATACAAAAAAAAAAGGTAGGTTCATAAAACTAAAAAAAAATTATAATTATATGATCATGGAATTAATTTATAAGGGCATTATATTAATTATATACTATTAGCTGTATAATTTTGGTACTTATAACTTTGGTTAGAATAAGCTGAATATTTCGTTTTCCAACTATAACGACACTAATTAAAACATTTGCTGGATAGGGTTATTTACATATTCCGGTTTAAATCAACATTTTCACGGAGCACTAAGATAATTAATCCATGAGTGACGTTACAAAAAATATAACACACTGGTTCATAGCCTCGACAGTTTCGATGGTTTAGCACCAAGCAGATACTAAAGAAAATATGGGGAAAAAGAGATACAACTCAAAACCAAAATCCAGTGGAGGAGTAAATCTCAATTATTTATTGTCTTCACGAACTCACAAAGAAGTAAATCTCCTATCGTAAAAAACATAGTAATTTGATCTCTAGTAATTTATTCCCTCTCTTTTCTGCTAACCTCATGCCTTAGAACCTTACTGTTTAATGGAACTGATGATAATAACACTGGCTTTTTAATTTCATAAGCTCCTTCCTCTTCCTACGGGCCTTTGCTGCTATAATGGCATCTGTAGACGCACTGTCAGAGCATGAAAAAGGTTGTTGATACATTTTAGGGGAGGCACCGGCTACATGCCCACGAGCAGAAGAAGCAACTTTGACATCAGGAGAGTTGTCTTGTTGACAACAATCACTTTGTCTAGCTATAACTGGTCGTACGAAAGCACTTGAATTGGAAGTCACCTGGACCAGCCCTTTAGACCGAAGTGCACCCTCATTTAGTAGATAACCACTGTCAGCTTCGCGAAGGATGTCTCTATGAAGAGTATCTATTGAGTCAGTAGTTTCCGTTTCAACTTTCGGAGGAGTTGCTGTTAGGTGGTTCTCCGTGTTGACCGTGGTTCTTGGAGTGGAAGTACTACATTCATGAACTACAGAAGTCTCGTGTTGGTCATTATGATCTGAGGATGGTGGATAAAATAGATTACTTTGGGCAAGGAATGGCATTGGACTAGGGAATGGAAGTATATATAAAGGAGTCTCTGGCTTGTTCATCATCGTGGGACTTTCTAGTTTGTCAGACGGTTTAAATTCTCCAAGAGGTGTAGGCAGCTGTCGTGTAATACCAGAAATACTATGAGAACCACTTTGTAATGGTAGACCATCTAAAGGTTGAAAGGACCAAAAGAACGGCGTTGCCCGAGTTTGGTTATGGAGGAAAGTTGGGAATGTAGTTGAAGTACTAGGAGTTTCCACAGGTGTCAACTTAGACTCATCATCTGTTTCTTGAACTTCCGCCTTAACTATTTTAGCCATCTGCAAATTAACCAATCATGTAATTTGTTGTGTAAATATGTAATTCAAAGTCAGTAATCTCAATATTGAACTATATTACCTGTGTTTTTAAGCTATTATTTTTGTTCCTCAAAGAACTATACTCCGCAGCAGCAAGCTCCTTATTCTATTTCGTCAAAAATGTCACCAAGCAGGAAATGACTATGGCAGAGATAATGATCCTAAAGTAACTTTGTGCATTGGACTGAGTTACTCTCAAGGTCAGGGAACTGATTACAAATGGAAGAGAAACATATATGCAAAGATATTCCACATACCTTCTTCAAATTTTCGTTCTCCAATGCAAGATCTGCTGCTTTTCTTGTCAATTCCTCTTGCATGGCCTAGGAAAAACAATTAGACATTGACATGCTATACTCTGTTAACCACGATATGGTTAGTTGTCAGAGGAGCAGGAAATGTAGAAGTCATTGGAATAGGAAATTCTATGAAGATCTACTGAACCATATAAAGACTTGTCATTCCTTTTAAGCTGATGACTTTGTTGCAAGTCAAGTGGTTAGGGTACAAATGCAAGCTAAATTTGAAAAGTCTCAATTGCCGCAAAAGCACAGCACACATAACCGAGGATGTCCCTATAGGACTTCTTAATTGTTAATTGAATGAAATTCTAATGGGTATAAATTGATGTTGCCTGGTCGCAACAGTTTCCAAATAAATTACACCTATTCCAAACAATTACAGAAAAAAAAAGAATAAAAAACATGTGATGTTCTGTTGTGTAAGGAGAGCTCTGAAATCAACCAGAGCTCCCACTCCAGTAGTTCACCAACAGCCTGAATTAGTTTCTCAAAAAAATATTCTGAGAGTGTAGCCATAAGCGTGTTACGGAAAAGGATCAACTCTAAAGTTGTAGTTGATCAGTAAATGCTTTCTTCGTTCTTAGTGTAGAATACTGGTTTGCACCAGATGAGAACCTCAGTTTGCATTTAACTCCTAGCATCCAAAAAAACAAAAATCAAGTCTTTATATCAACCATGGAGGATACTTTAGAATCTGATCCAGTTGCCTTTTAGCAAACAATTGTCAAGTCCAGACCAACCTTCATGCGGTTTTCCAAATAACAAGATTTGGTCAACTCTAGCTTAAGAAAGAACTTAATAAGAGACATTCCTACAACAATTTCGCTGTTCTCCTTCTCACAACTTGGGACCTTTTATTTTTGTTCTACGCAGTTCCACCTTTGCGACTACACAGTGAGAAACAAGACGGAAGCACTGGTCTGGCACAGCATGATTGTTACCTATGTTGCCCAGACTCGGGTGTGGGTATCCGATACGGGTGCGGATCTAGAGGTCATATTCTTCATCAAGTAAATCTTAGGATTCGAGATCCGAGTGCGGACACGGGTACTGGAATACAGCCAATAAATGTATATTACGGAGTATAAATATATATACACATATTTATAAGTATATATTTTGAGTAATTAAAGTGATTGAACTAAAACTAATAAAATTTATTTCTTTATAAAAACCTAATATTTTATTCATAGGGTATCTCGTGTAATAGCACAGCATTCTCATACTTAATATAACTACATATTGTATATGACTAAAACCCACCGAATCAAACCAAATACCCAGTCAGTCTATACTTCTCGGTCATAGATGTAGTCCAAGCACCCAAGGTAAGTTGACCAAATCCAGTGTGAATCCCACACTGCCACACCCATATCGTGTCGACACGGGCGCGGCAAGGATTTTGAAGAGTCCGAGCAACATAGGTGGTACCACTCCCTCAAAATGCATATTCTTACTTTGACTTGGTACAATCATCACAGATTCAGCAGAACATCTAATGAGCAATATTGAGTGGAGACATCAGGGCCACCGGCCATATATTATCTTTTTATTTAGAAATAGCAGAGGAAAATTACTGTATTGGCAAGAGAGGATTAGATGTGGCTTCTTAGATAACATGGTAAATCTTAACTTTTCAAGAAAAAGGATGTTTATATTGAGACGCACAAAAACAAAGTGAGTCCTTCAAAAAGGGAGGAGAGCTGCCTTAATCATTGTTTAGGAATAATTCTTCATAGAAGGTGAAGACAAAAGTTTTCAAATGTACCCCTAACAAATTCGGAGCATCAAAGCTATACAACAGAGCAGGACAAAAAAACTTCCTTCATAAAATTTTAGGTGAAAAATTCCACACTCATTAGAATATCAACAAGCATAAGCATGAAACCTTTACGAATTTTAGATTTTAGATTGTCAATTTGACTTCAAAGGGAATTATGAAAGTCAATAGTCTTACAACACCCGCAGTTAAGTACTACGTGCTCGGGCTCTCCGAAAATGCAGTCGGGTGCCTATCAGATCCTCCAAAAGTAATGTATCTTTGCAGGATCCGACACGGGTACGGCAACATTTTGGAGAGTTTGTGCAACATAGGTTAAATAATTAAGTTTGTGCTCTCATGCAAGACTCAAATGCGCACTTAGCTAGAGGCATAAGCTTAAAAGCTAAAAAGAGGTCGGGAGCTGAGATCCGAAGTTAAAAAAGTATTGAGATTACTGTATCCCTTAGCAGGAGGTGTCCACTTCTCTTTACATTTGATATGTTGTGAAGAAAGGATATCCCAGAGTAGAAAAATGTAATCTTGTGGACTACCAAGGGAAAATTAGGAAATATGCTGCTAAATTGAAGCATGAGACTTAATAATCAAGTCAGTGGATGTTAGAGGCTACAAGTGGAATATGATGACAATTATGCAAACTTTTAGGTGACACCAAGAAAAGTAAAGAAAGAATTCGTTCTTAATTAAAATGCTTATTGTTTTAACGAAACCGAAGTAGCTGCTTCCATTTGAGAAAACAAAGACGTCTTTGGAAAAGGAGAACAGACATTCCTACTTAGCCGGCAATGGTATGCATTAACCTAAAACAAGCGAAATAGCCGTAATTTATTAAAAAGAATACACCATGGACAACGAGGCCTAAACCTTACAAGGATAACTCCTTTCAACGCTGTCAAGGAAACTTTACTAGCTTTGAGAATATCCTTGAGGTTACTTCCCAAAGCATTCATGATGAACATAAACCAGTGCATGCAACAGAGAAATAAACAAAGTACTGGTGCAAACAAAAATGATAACTACAAGCAGGTAGGTCAAAAGTCAACTTAGAAAAGAGACACCAAATATTTAGCGTTCGACCACACAGATTATGCTAGAGAGGCAATTCCTCCGAGGAAAAGCACATTATAATGAGTAATAACTGGTCCAGAAGAGCTGCGAGTTATGCTGGTCTTCCTGACGAAAATAGCTCAGATGAGCATACCTGTCTTCGGCGAATTGTCTGCCTCGCAGATTCTCTATTTGCAAATACACGGCGCAGCCTCCGTCCTTCCTTCTCCGCCTGAGAGGACAGTTGCTATGATAAGAAAGTAGGAACATCTGAGGAATAAGGATAAGAGATTGTAACATTTCAGTACCTGATCAGTCAAATCCTGCCTCGATTTGCCGCTGCTAACCGGTGGATAAGCTTTTTGCTAAAGTAAAGGCGGATAAGCTTTTAACTGAGGATACAGTTGCTCAATATTTCAAACAATATTGGGGTAAATTTAACTATTTTTCCCTAAGTTATAGTAATACATTTAAATTGTACACTATAGTTATCAATAAAAAAGATTTATCATATCGTCAGTCTATAAAAATTGAACACATTCATAATACACATACTGTCGAATATAAGCCAGCTGCATCCCGGGTGTCCATGCAGAGTTGAACGTCACCAGTCACCGGATGCGACAAACAAGCCAACACCTCCGCCGCTTCCCACTCACATTCCACCAGTTCATCATCGGAAAACCTACCGTCCGCCGCGGACGGCGTCGTTTTGTGTATCTCTTCGTTGTTCATGTATACAAACAAACATATCAGGTGTTAAGGTAACGAGTGAGAGTACTTATCCAGTATTGAGGAGGAAGCAAAAAGAAACAGAGGAGGAGGAGGGATGCGGAAGCGACACATGTCCTGCCAGATAACCGTGACACAACTTCCAAGATGAAAGACATGTATCTGTAGACGCCAAGTGTTGTTTGTTAAATAGACGCACGTAAACTTGTGAGTGGTGGCTGGCACGTGCCTGAAGCTGGTCTGTTGTGCTGGGACATGATCTAAAGTGCAGGGTGCACTAAATTATAGCTATGTGCGGGATCAAGAGAAGGGCTGACCCCTAAGGGTCTCTTGTATGCGGTCTTATTTTATATTTCTGCAAGATATTATTTTTACGGCTTGACCTGTAGCCTCCTGATCACATAATAATAACTTTATCAGTTACGCTAAGCTTCCCCTTATATTGGGACATGGCCTGTTCCATTGAAAAAATTTGCGCAAAATACAAATTGGCCGCTCAGCCGAATTGAATTATATTTTCTAGCTAAAAAGTGGATAAATATATGTATTATCAGCTATTATATTGAAAGCCATGAGAAATATATATTTTTCAAAAAAATTCTCCTCAACTCGATAAATGTACTCATGCGTTGCATTTATTTTTATGTTAATTTTATCACTTAATTATAATTGATGCACTTATTCTCGTATCACTCAATTGTAGAAAATTAACGTAACTTGGTATAAACCAAATGTGAATAAAGTATTTTCCTTTTTCATTAGTGAAAAGCTTAAGAGTATAAAATAATAAGGATATCATTCATTTTGCCATGAATTTTAATCTTAAAAATCTTTTTATGATTAATATAAAACACATGAAATAGTGAAATTAGGGGGAAAATAGTTAAAGAGGGGCAGATTGTATGGGCCAAAAAAATATCTTTGATATAGGTAAGCCACGTCAGCATTACTATAGCCCTTGTCGATCGCCACGTGTTGTACGTAAGGTCCCCGTAAAGAGCGGTCTCGTGGCCAAGTAGCCTCAAAGCAATGAAGGACGCGGTCGAAGAGTCAACAAAGATCAAGGTCGCGAAGTCACCGTGGATCAAGGTCGAGGTCGAGCATTTTAGACAAAGTTATAATGGCTAGTTCTAAGATAAAACATAAAGGAGATATTCTAGTGGATATTCTCTACACATGTACTATTAGGGTTTCTAGGAACATGTTCCCTATAAATAGAAAGAGACACAATGATAGAGGACATGAGATATTCATTTGTAAAAAACACAATGACTTTATAGAGAGAATCTGGTCCTATTGCAAACATACAAAAATAACCTTTCTAGTAAGATTCTTGTCTAGCATTTTCCGCCGGATCCAAGAACAGCCTAAGTGTTCAAGGGCTCACTAATCACATCATTGTCAGAAAGAATATCTACTGATCTCATCCCATTTCAGGTGATTCACACGTTTTAATTTACTTAAATGTCATTTATTGCTATTTATTACTATTGAATGCCATATTTCACCTTTTTGGATCGTTGAATATTGTTATTATTGCTTATACTCACTACCATCTGAATAGAGATAATAGTTATTTGCTACGGTCCGACAACTTTATCTTTAGGATATTATTCATAACTTTTACAGAATGAACATAGACACTTTACACAATGAACATAAACTGTTTCTTAGTAGTGTACATATCCCATATATAGATAGCAGATTTGTAGGAATCTCTTTTATTTCTTTCCTTAGTTAGCACCTGATGTACATGTATGTATATGTATCACTACATGAAATTATATACCAATTTGATTCTTCCTTACCTTGTTAATTAGATGGTATCAGAGCCACATTTGTGGCTTCGCCAGAGTTGAGTTTGTCTCGCCGGAGTTGACCAAAACTTTTCGGTTGACACGTGAGGTGCGTGTGTGGTCCATTCTCTGTCCAGCTTTGTTCTCCGAGGTCAGCTTGATATTTTCGATCAATTGTTGGTTATCCTTTGATAACAGAACTTTATTTTCGTGAAGAACAGACTCGGACAAGGTTGTATTACATCAATTTTGGTCACGTTTGAGTTCTTCTACTATTTGGTTTGTTTTTTGGGATACTGAAGTAGTCGTGGAACAATATTCTTGCATCTGATTGCTTATTTTGTGAATTGGTATTTGTTGGGTCTTCCTTGTAGGACGCTTTGTTACAATTTGAGACTTGATATTATCTGTTGGGTCTTCCCTTATCAGAAACTTTATTGGTCTCTGATTTTATTTGATTTGGGGACAAATTTGTTTGGTTCTCTGATTTGGTTGAGTGGATTATTGGAGTAGAGTTCTGTAAATATATTGTTGACTTCGTATTTACCAGAGATCTGTTTTGGTATCTTTTAGCTTTGGGAACCTCTGTTAATTTAATCGGTGTGTTATTCAAAGGAAACATGATGGTAAAGAATAATAATGCAACAACTCCTAGTCTAGCAATCTTGGTTTCGGATGAGTTTCTAAAGTTCCTTCAAAATCATAAATCAGTTAAGGAACCTTCTTCAGTTACTGCCTTTGCTGGGTCAGATAAAACATGTCTTATCACCTCGTCCAATAAATTGGTGATCGATTCAGGTGCCACAAATCACATGACAGGTAATCCAAATATTTTTTCTAGCTTTCGCTCACATAAAGCACCCTCTCCAGTTACTGTAGCTGATGGATCAACTTGTAGCAGTGTTGGATCTGGGACTGTTAAACCAACTTCCTTTATTACCCTGTCATCTGTATTAAGTCTATCAAACTTGGCCTTTAACTTGATTTATGTTAGTAAAATCACCAAAGACCTTAATTGTTGTGTTGTATTTTTTTCCGATCATTGTTTGTTTCTAGATCTTACAACAAAACAGGTTATTGGTAAAGGATATTTATCTGGTGATCTCTACATCCTTGATGAATGGGATCCACGGTCTATTGCATGCTCTAGTGTTGTGTCTCCCTTTGAAGCACATTGTCGATTGGGACACCCCTCTCTGCCTTTGTTGAAGAAGCTTTGTCCTCAGTTTCAGTATATTTCTTCATTGGATTATGAGTCATGCCGATTTGCAAAACACCATCGCATCTCGTTAAGTCCAAGGGTTAATAAACGAGTTGAGTCAGCTTTTGAGTTAGTTCATTCTGATGTTTGGGGACCATGTCCCGTCTTTTCCAAAACTGGGCATAAGTATTTTTTTACCTTTGTAGATGATTTTTCTCGAATGACTTGAATTTACTTTCTGAAGAGCCGCTCTGAAGTGTTTACTCACTTTTCTGCCTTCTGTGCTGAAGTCAAAACTCAATTTATCGCTTCGGTGCGTATTCTAAGAAGTGATAATGCTAAAGAATACATGTCAGAGTTATTTCAGTCATATATGAGACAACATGGTATACTACATCAGTCTTTATGTGTTGATACACCCTCTCAAAATGGAGTTGCTGAGAGGAAGAACATGCATCTACTTGAGACAGCTCGGGCACTTTTGTTCGAAATGAAGGTTCCTAAACAGTTCTGGGCTTATGCGGTCTCTACGGCTTGCTTTCTGATTAATCGCATGCCATCTACTATGCTTGGTGGTAATGTGCCTTACAGTGTCCTTTTTCCAAACAAGGCATTATTTCTTGTCACGACCCGGATTTTTCACCCTCGGGAGTCATGTTGGCGACTACTCGTGAAAGCTAGGCAAGCTGAGTATTATAAATTCATTACCTTTTTTATTAAGCATGTTCAACAATTTAAAGTAATAAGTGATTAAACAACAGAATAAATTAAATAACCAGAAATGCGGAAGACGAAAACTTAATAGTTTAACCAAACATTGCTACATAATCTGAAGCACTATACTACCCAGAATTTGGTGTCACAATTTCACAGACTGTCTAAGAGTACTATAAATAAAGGGTCCGAAGAATAAATACAAATTGTCTCAGAAATACATAGAAGAAACAGCAGGGAAAGATAGAAAGAGACGCCAAGGCCTGTGGACGCCTGCAGGACTACCTCGGGTCGCCTGAATGGACTGAAGACAGCACCCTCACTGCGTTCCAAATGCTCCGGTATAAGTATCTGCACACAGTGCAGAGTGTAGTATCAACACAACCGACCCCATGTGCTGGTAAGTGCCTAGCCTAACCTCGGTGAAGTAGTGACGAGGCTAGGACCAGACTAACAAACAAACCTGTGCAGTTAAATCATATACAGCGGAAAATAAAAGCAGATATTCACAGTTAAAGATGGGGAGGGGAAGGCATGCTACGGGGAGTATTAAATAACAACAAAATACTAAAGAGGAATGTAAAGAAACCATAATTTAGTTGCCAACAATAATGAGGAAAACAAACACAGTATTCACTTTCATTTCTTTCTCGTTGCAGGCCCGCTCCTAATTCATATATCTCGTTGCAGGCGTGCAACCCGCTCCCATTTCATATAGTACCGTTGCAGGCGTGCAACGCGCTCCCATTTCATATGTTACCGTTGCAGGCGTGCAACCCGCTCCCATTTCATATATTACTGTTGCAGGCGTGCAACCCGCTCCCATTTCATATATTACCATTGCAGGCGTGCAACCCGCTCTCATTTCATATATCACCGTTGCAGGCGTGCAACCCGCTCCCATTTCACAATTCAACACCTTTCATATTTCAACACCAATCATAGAAGAATCCCGGCAAGGGAACAATAAGACAACAATATCCCGGCACGGGAACAATAATATAACAACAACATCCTGGCAAGGGAACAATGATATAACAACAACATATTAAGCATGAATAAACCACGACGGAGTCACAACAATTACAATACAAGACTCACCGGCATGCTTGACACCGACGTACAGATACTCGTCACCATGCCTATACATCGTACTCCACAATTAACACATAGCAAATAAGATACAACTCCTAATCCCTCAAGCTAAGGTTAGACCAAACACGTACCTCGATGACACGAACACAATTCAAGCCTCAACTACCGTTTTACCTCTTGATTCTACCACCAATTCGCTCGTATCTAGCCACAAGTTACTTAACTATATCAATAAATGCTAAATGAATCAATTCTAATGCATGAAAATAGATTTTCTAGAGTTTTTCCCAAAAAGTCAAAAATCGACCCCGGGCCCACATGGTCAAAACCCGAGG